CCCCCTTCCTTCTCTCCTAAATTCCCTCCTTCCTTCCCTCCTTCCTTCCCTCCTTTCTTCTCTCCTTCCTTCTCTCCTTCCTTCCCTCCTTGCTTCCCTCCCTCCTTCCCTCCCTCCTTCCTACCCCCCTTTCTTCTCTTTCTTCTCTCCTTCCTTCCTCCTCTCCTTTCCCTTCTCTCCTTCCCCTTCCTCCCCTTTACCCTTCCCCTCTTCTTCCCATTCCTCCCCTCTTTCCTACTCTTACATTCCCTCCCATTCTTCCTCTGCCTTTCCCTTTCTCCTATTCCTCTCCTTTCTCCTCTCCTTCCTATCTTTCCTTCTACTCCATCCACTCTATCCGTTGTTGTGTTTACATATTCTCTTCTTCAGGGGATGTAGTACACACGTTTTAAAGATGTTAAAGTAGGAAACACTAGTAGTATGAATTGTATGGAATTTTGCAAGCCAGATGGCAGGCAGAAAAGTGACTCTTCTAGAGCAGGGCTGTCAAACTTGTGGCCCGCAGGCCAGATCTGCTGGCCCACACCCGGTTTAGCGAAGTGGAAAAAAGTCACGACACGTCATGCGACAATGCCGTGATGATGTGAGTTTGACACCCCTGTTCTAGAGGATGGAGGGTAACAAAGGGCACACTTTTTTAAAAACCTGGATAAGCTGGCGCTTCCTGTACAGCAGTGCCTGCCCTCTACAATGGGGCTCCCTTCAAAAATCCCATTCCCCCCACCCCAACTAGTATTTGAAAAGTTTTATAGACCTGGCTCTTCACCTGGGCCTTTGGTGAGAATGTTTTACACCTCCTTTTAACGGTGTTTTCCTTTGTTCCCCTTTGGTTTTGTCACAATGCCATCTTTACTCTTCTTTTTGTTTTAGGTTGTTTATGCTTAATATTTTAAACAATTTGTAAACTACCCAGATTTTCTGGGAGTCATGCAGGATATAAAACTGGATATTTGGCTACACTATTTCCAAGAAGCAAAAGAATTACACAAGGTTGATGTTGAATCAGTTCAAAAGACAAAACATTGTTTCTTAAATTGGTTTATAATTTGTCCTGACTTTCTGAATGCTCAGAATACTCTTGGTATTAAGTCACCAGATAGGCGTAAATAAAGAAAATAAATAAGCAGGCCGAGGCCTTTGGGTCTTACATTGTCCTTGTGTCATTGCAGATATACACATACAGAGATTACCTACCTCTGCTTCTGGGCAACGAATTCCATAAAAAATTACCTCCGTACAGGGGCTACAATAAGAATGTGAACCCCTCCATTTCAAATGTTTTCACCTCGGCCTTCCGATTTGGGCATGGTTCTGTCCCACCTTTTGTACCCCGCCTGGATGAGAAATTCCAGAACTCGCTTCCCTTTTCCAAGACCCCACTTCATCTCACTTTTCTGGCTCCATGGAGGATTGTGAAGGAAGGTAAGTTCATTCTCTGGTTTAACCCTCTTGAGATTGGTTTCTCTAAGATCCTGCCCATTTCTTGAGAACTTAAACTGAGCCTGTTCAAAGCGCAGCCTAGAGGGCTGGGAACTATCCAATGCTCCTAGAAACAATCAGTTTTGAAGAACAGGAATGAGCACCTCTAAATCTCACACTTGATGTTGTTTTACCTAAGTCAGTGTTGGTGAATCTTTTCGCGCCGAACTGGCAGTAATGCCGGTAGCAACCCACCCCTGCATTACATATGATAAATTAATATCTACTTCTGGAATGGCTCTGCGTCTCAAAGATTTGGGGAGCTCGCTAGCACCAGGGGGGTCACAGATTATGATCTTTTGATGTGGACCAGGTTATTGAGTTCTAATCCTGTTTAGTCCTGCCACTGTGGCCAATACTGACAGGGAAGATTAAAGTTGTAGCCTAAACACAAAGGTGGATATATTTTGACCTTCCATGGGATAAACATTACCAGCTTAATTGTGCCAGTGTAATAATAAATCATAAGGCAGCTTTAAACCTGTTTAATCCTGTATCAAATTTCTCTTTTTACTTCCTCCCTTCCTCCCTCCCTCCCTTCCTTCTTCCTCTCTCTCTCTCTCTCTCTCTCCTTCTTTCTTTCCTTTCCTTTCCTTCTTTTTTCCTTTTCTTTCTTTCCACTCTGCCCTGCCCTCTCCTCTCCTCCCTCCTCTCCTTTCCTTCTTTCCTCTTTCCTTTCTTTCCTTTCTTTCCTTTAAGTCATTGTTGACTGCTGTATTAGTTTCTATCCTTTTCTTTGAGATACTTTTAAGAATATTTTTGCTTTCTCCTTCCTAGGGTTGAAAGAGAGTGACCAGCCCAAGGCCACCCAGTTGGCTTTGTGCCTACAATAGAATGGAATCAGAACTCACCTAACTGACTCTCCTCAAATGGATATACCAGAGAGTTATATGTTGAATTTAAATGTAGAAAGCAAGCTACTCATTAAAAGAAATGCTGAAGCTTTGGAAGCCTTGGTTACAAGTTACTTTCCTTTCAGAGATCACTGTTGCTTTTCTCTTCTAGGTGGCATTGATCCCATTGTCCGTGGCTTCATGGCAGACTATCCCAAGCTGATGAGGCAGGACCAGATAATGGTTGATGAGCTTCGGGAACGGCTCTTTGAACAAGTGAAATATATTGCTTTTGATCTATCATCTCTGAATATGCAGAGGGGACGAGACCATGGTTTGCCAGGTAGAGTGACTTATTGTAAAAGCAGATTTATCACTGTCCTTGGAATAGCAATTTAAGAAACGCTGTACAAATTAACAGAATAGCAGAGTTGGAATAACAACCTCCAGTGAGGTTAAAAACTCACAAATTTGGAAGGCAAGCTATTCAACTGTTTAATTGTTTTCATAGTTAGGAAATTTATCCCTAGTTCTAGGTTGGTTCTCTTCTTGATTAGTTTCCATCCATTGTTTCTTGCCTTGCCTTGTGGTGCTTTGGAGAATAGATTGACCCCTCTTCCCTCTCTTCTTTTTGGCAAATATTGGAACACGGCTATCATCTCAACCTTAGTTCCCCCCCCCCTTTTTTTTTTTTACTAACCAGACATACCCAATTCCTGCAACTGTTCTTCATATGTTTTAGCCTCTGGTCCCCTAATCATCTTTGTTGCTCCTTTCAGAATCTCTACACCTTTTTTATAATATGTGACCAAAACTGAATGCAGTATTCTAAGTGTGGCCTTACTAAGGCTTTGTAAAGTGGTACTAATACTTCGGGTGATCTTGATTTTTGTCCCTCTGTTAATCTTGGAGTCTTAGTGGACAAACACTTAAACATGAGCCAGCAGTGTGCAGCGGCACCCAAATAAGCAAATGCAATCCAAGACCCCAGATCCCTCATCTAAATAATTTATGAAAAGGTGCTGAGCCTAAAGCAGAACCTCGGGGTACCCCACTACTTACTCCCCTCCATGTAGATGTAATCCCATTCATGTACGCATTCTTGTCTTCTTTCTAACCTAATAGCTTCCAGATCTGGTGGGATCATAACTCCCAGAGTTCCAAGAGAGTTGACTGATGAATTCTGGGAATTGCAGTCCCAGCATATCTGAAGTAGGAGAAGACTGTTCTACACTTTATAGCCATTTTTTTCTTTCCTGTTACCCTGCCCTGCCCTGCCCAGATCTATTGATATGCATGATTTCACTAGTTTTTAACATAGACCCAAAATGAACCCCAGCCTAACAGAGATATTAAAAATATGCCTATTATATAACACCTGCTCGCAGAGCCTACAGCATTCTAGAAATAATTGTGTGGGAAGTCACCTTTTTCTTTACCTTCTTAAAACATACATCAGATTTGTTTCCTCTTTTAAGCAAATCCAGCAACACAAGTGGGATCAGTTGCAACTGGAGATACTTGGGCAAGGGGAGAAAACTCAAGATGGCAGCTGTGAATATGCAAATGCAACCCCACCTCTTTTTTAAATATGGGAACTTCCCTGTCCGTAATGAAGATTTGTTTCTCCTTGCAGGGTATAACGCCTGGAGACGTTTTTGTGGCCTCTTTGCTCCCAGCAACGAAGCCCAGCTTGCTTCAGTCCTTCGCAATCGGAAACTGGCAAAGGATTTCATGAAACTTTATGGGACGCCCGAAAATATTGACATCTGGATTGGAGCCATAGCCGAGCCCTTTGTCCCAAATGGGAGAGTGGGACCTCTCATGGCCTGTCTCATCGGAACTCAGTTTAAAAACCTCAGAGATGGAGACAGGTGGGCCTTTTTCAAATCCTTTGTATCTCAAGAGAAAACCATATGCCACATCCAGATGTTGCCATTGATTTCATAGCTATAATTGTTTTTTTTTATTTTTAAGTGATCGTGTGATATGGTAGTTTTAATTATCATTTATTTTACTTTGGTCATTGTCTTGTACTATTGGATTTTGCAGCCAAAGTTGATGAGGTTTGTCACTTGCTGAGCATCTTTTGACTGAGGTAGAAACATATCTAATATAGACATAGATAAATAACAACCCTCAGTTTTTCGGACTGTCTTGAGGGCTGAGCAACAGTTGTGATTGGCCTGATCGGCATTAGACTTTGGGATATCTTAACACCAATGTTATGAGCTAAGCGGACTTCCGGGGGTTCTTCAGGTGCAATTCCAGTGCTGACATTCACCTTTAAAGCCCTCCATAGCACAGGCCCTGGACTCAGGAGACATAGCAGAGGCCCTGGAGATTTGATAGACACCTATCAACATTGAGGGTTTCTGGTGGTCTTCCATAGAAATACTTCCAGGTACAACCCAGCTTAGCTTTTTAAGATCAGCCAAGATGATTAGTTGCTTCTCCCTGTTGTGACCAATGTCCAGAGAAGCTCACCAAAAGAAATGGTTTTCTATGATTAACCCGTTGGCTCTTGGCTCACTAAAGTAGTATTTTTACTTCCTCAAGTCAATTTTCTTATTATTTCTATTATGATTCTTATCGTTATTATTCATCTATTGCAACTTTTCATCTTTTTATTTTTGGCAGATATTGGTGGGAGAATCCCGGAGTCTTTACCCCAGAGCAGCACCGTGCTCTGAGAAGTGATTCACTTTCCCGTCTCATTTGTGACAACACACGCATCAAAGAAGTGCCCAGAGACATTTTCAAAATGAACAGCTATCCAAAAGATTTTGTGACCTGCTGTGAAATCAAGAGTCTGGATTTGTCAGCTTGGAAAGAATAGACTTGAAATCAGAGCAGAAGGAGGAGAGAGGGACAGGACCTGGACCTGGGCAACTGTAGCCTCTTTTGCTCATACTCTAAAACATGAAATAATGGTACTAACCAGCTTCCACTGTCAAGGAGAGTTCATTTTAGGTGGAGTACTATAAGCCAGGTGCTGGGAATCAATTAAAATGTGCAATTAACAAATTCTACAAGTAAATGCATAATGAAGTGGAGGCCTCCTTGTACAGTGTTGCCTATTGTTGGAATCCTGACTCACTTCCCCAACTACCACATTTTCCTGAAGTGAAAAAAGTTTGGACCAGTTGTACTGAGTATTTCGAGATGGGAGCATTCATTAGGGGGGCGGGGGGTGGTGGAAAGGTCAGGATAACCATGTATTCAAAGCCCCGTATTCTTTTTAATGAATCAAGTGTGCAAAATTCTCAGCCCAACTCATCTCACAAGGATGTTGTTATAGGAGGAGGAAGTGTGTTGGATATGTTCACCACCTTGAGTTATTTATAAAAGGAACAAAGGCAGGAAGTTAAATAAATAAAATATGTAAGAAAAGGGGGAGGTTTTGACCACACCGTTGTAGGTGTCCTCTTGACTTTTTTGACCTCCTCCCCCTAGGATGCCCTGTTGGGAGACTCTTGTAGAGAGTTGGTGTCATAACTGAGCACTATTATGCTGTTGCCCATCAACTTTCCCACAGGAGAGGAACCTTCAGCATAAATAAGTTTGTATTGGACAAGTTGATTCAATTTGAAATACATGCTTCATCCTATAGGGTTCTACATATTGAATTGAATTGAATTGAATTGAATTGAATTGAATTTATTGCATTTATATGCCGCCCTTTTCCCCGAAGGGGACTCAGGGCGGCTCACAATCCAAGTCAAGGGAAGGGGTACAGATAAGGAATAAAAAAGACGAACAGAACAATACACAATTTAAAAGCACACAACAACCATNACTGTCAGGAAATTTCTCCTTAGTTCTAAGTTGCTTCTCTCCTTGATTAGTTTCCACCCATTGCTTCTTGTCCTACCCTCAGGTGCTTTGGAGAACAGTTTGTCTCCCTCTTGTTTGTGGCAACCCCTGAGACATTGGAAGACTGTTATCATGTCTTCCCTAGTCCTTCTTTTCATTAAACTAGACATACCCAATTTCTGTAACCGTTCTTATGTTTTAGCCTCCAGTCCTCTAATCATCTTTGTTGCTCTTCTCTGCACTCTTTGTAGCATCTCAAAATCTTTTTTACATCGTAGCGACCAAAACTAGATGCCGTATTCCAAGTGTGGCTTTACCAAGGCATTATAAAGTGGTATTAACACTTCACATCATCTTGATTCTATCCCTGTCTTTATGCAGCCTAGAACTGTGTTGGCTTTTTTGGCAGCTGCTGCACATTGTTGGCTCATATTTAAATAGTTGCCCATTTAATTTTTAAAAAAAGGCATTCCTTTTTCAATGGTTTCAATTGCCAAGAATAGAATATAAGGCCAGAAGATCAGTTCATTTATTAAGGTAATACTATTATTGATTTGGACAGAGAGGACAAAGTACAAGATAGAAATAAAGACTACCAGTGTCTGAAAATAAGTGTTTACTTTCCCTTAAAGGATTTCACCCACTGTTTCTTGATGCTGATATCTCAAGATGTCAGAATGGTGCTTTTCTCATTGTTCTCTGTTTTACCCTATTCCTCTGACTTATAATTTAGAAGAGGCATTGTCTTACTAGAGCCACTAATCACCACTTTGCAGTAGGAAAGGGAGGCCGTTTTGTGCTTTACCTGCGGCTGATTGATGCTATCTATCAAGAGGGAGGAAATTGCCTGGTCTGATTCTTTACCCCCAGGTGAAAACAAAGCAGTGTGACGTAAGAGTGAGAGTTTTTCCCCCCTCATCTGTAGGACTGAGTAAATCCCCTGGAGAAGATTTTATAAATAGAGAGAATTCTTTATTGGCCAAGTGTGATTGGACAGAAGGAATTTGTCTTTGGTGCCTATGCTCTCAGTGTACATAAAGATAATAAAATACATTCATCAAGAATAAAAAGATACAACACTTAGTGATAATCAAGGTTACTAATAAGCTATCAAACAAACAGAACAATATAAATAATA